ACTTTCAGGAGATCAGGAGGGAAGTTGACCAGATCCAAACCGATGAGTCCACAACTCTGAATTTCTAGGCCCTGGTCCACAACTCTGAATTTCTAGGCCCTGGATCCAGATCGATAGTCCAAAAATTGAACGCGGCCCACAAATAGTCAGCTGGGTCTCGCACCAAGAAAATGGCTCTCACACTCGTGCCCCAACGTCTCACCAGCACTGGGTATTCCATAAAGCGGATGCAGCTCAGCAGCAAAAGTTTGGGATGCCGTAACTCTCTCGGTCTTTGTGGTACGTAGACTTTGTACGTGGAATTGAAACCTAAAAATCGATTACATTCGGCTTGCGTCGAACTTGAATTTTCAAACAAACGCTTGTTCAGAGTGCTCTTGTAGCAAGCCTTCCGTACTTGATCCAAAGCAGTATGGTTTACACTCATGATTTCGCTAGCAAAAAAAAAAGGTCAGTTGCTCGAAAGCGCTTTCCATGGCAGGAAGCGGCGCAACTTCCTTTTGCAAAGCGAAGACCAATGGATGGGATGCAATCAGCCTGTGCACATGTGATGTGCCACACTTGGAAAACCCACCGACAAGCAACAAATTTGCTGGTACGGCGACGCTGTCGTTCCTGCCAAAAGTTGACATGGACCAATCCGGGTAATTGGCCAGGCCGCGAGAACATAGAAAGGCTGCAGACACGAAAAAGCAAGACAGCGGACATGGCATTCCCATACCGCAGGCGCAATTGTCAAGTTCAATAGAGGCGGCCTTTTCTTCTGTGGGCCTGACTCTTGTTGAACCTCTAAATTGGTTTCTTCCATGACCCATGAAGTGCAAATCGTTGTGCGCATTCAAACATAAGTAAGGCGCATGTTACCTGCCTTCTTTGTTACGCCTTGGCGAAAAGAACCAAAATGGCAACGTACTTGGCTCAGTGGTTATGTTGATATGGAAACAAATACGCGCATGAACTTCGCCCTTGAAATTTTCGACGGCGCGACAACGTTGCGCCACTTGTATTATAAGGGGTGCAAGAATAGTTTTCTGCAACCGACATTTCTGTGGCTTCTTTCTCATCCGGATCATCCGCAGCTTCTCTCTCTCTCTCTCTCTCTCGGCGCGCAGGGAGTTGTGCAAAACTAAGAGAAACGGTCTTTTTCTCACAAAAACTCACCTCTTGAATGGAGTTGTCTAAACCCCGTTATTACAGGTTCGATCACACGTCTGTTTGTTTAGGAACCCAACAAAACAAGCAAACATGTCCTGACTTTGCCAATGCTAGGATCAAAAGCACCGTGCAAAGCTTCATTGTCAAATCCACGTCACACCTATTGAAGATCGGGATGATGAACTTCTTTTCGCGATGTCCGTCTTCTGCGCATGCTTCCCTGCCAGTGGTTGACAGGCAAGCGGTGTAGGTGATGTTGTATCCTTACGCGCCACGGGAACCGACCAACAAGAGTTTGGATCTTGACAAGCATCTTTTTGCAGTAGTTCCTTTTATACAACATAAACCACAAAATGCAACATGCAACCAAAACACGAAACCCGTTGAGTGAGTCCGGCCTTGATAAAACACATGTTTGAGTACATTGAATGATAGTTCTTGGCAAACTGCTCGCAGCCAAAACCTGGCAAACTGCATTGTAGCTCTGGTAAATGAAGATCCGGGTCTCGCAAAGCACTGGCCGGTAACCAGAAAGCTCATAGACTCCACTCTGGACCTTGTTTGTTCACTCACTGTCAGCATTCCTTTCACAGACGCGGAATATCCTGTATTTGTATAAGAAAGAACCACTCACCCGTTTGGACGTTCAACCCCATCTTCCATTTAAGAAGGCCATCTGCCAGAAGCAACTCGTGAGAAAGTTCGGGGCTCCGGTAGAAGTTGCCAACACTCGTTTTCTGTTCTGAATTTGCGTCCAAGTCAGTTCTCCAAGAGTTGAAAGCTGCCCGCAAATACTCTGCAGGGTCTCGCACAAGGTAGATGGCTTTTACTGTCGCACCCCATCGTTCCATCAGAACACGGTCCTGGTGAAATGTCAGGTGTGTGAGCAGCAATATCTTTGGAGCAATTACCTTTGCAGGCAACCCACCTGCTAGAGCACGCAAACATTCTTGTTTGGATTCCTTGTCGTTGAAATTCTTGCGACAGGCATCTCGAATTTGCGCCGGGCTGGTAACATCAACGCTTGCAAGTTCTCGTGCATAGAAGAATATCACCTCTTCAAACATATCGCGTTGTCCGGGCAGTGGTTGAAACTCTTTCCGCAAGGCGAGAAGACTTTCCGATGAGCGGCCAGGACTCTGTGGAAATGTGATGTGCCACACTTGCCAAAGCCGCCTATCAGCAACATGTTTGTCGGTACTTTGACACTTTCGCCTGTTGCTACAGCCACCAGCGCATGTATGATGCACATCAGTGCGCCGCCCATGGCTTGTTCCTAGACGCTTCTCCCACTCCAGAAGCCTCAGAGTTCGCTAGCCTTGCGTTGAATTCGAACTATATGACTGTTTTGTGGAGCAAACACGTGGACACTGTTCACTGGAGAAATGGACAGGTCGGCAAGCGAGCAAGAATCTCTTGGGAACAAGCACCGTGCAAAACAAAAACTAATTTGGGAAACCCGCTGGCGCTGTTTGTCCTCCTGCTAAACCGAGGAAGACCTCAATTGGACACATTGAATAAATGGGCTAGCAAGTTGCATACCTGCTTCTGAGCAAAGTACATTCCTGCTTGTGGGCGCATTCACACACGATTTAGAAGCATACAACTGGTTACATTTGGTTACATTTGGGCGCAGTTGTCTTTACTAACACCCTGTCATTTTGCATGGAATTGAAACATTTGAGAGGAGTTCTTCTGGGAGGGCAAGCAGGCACTGCTTTTGAAACGATTTCCTTAGAGCTACACCATTTTTGACAACATGAGTTGAATTGAACTTGCGCTACAAGTTTTTTGCGTGACACAAATGGAAGCAGTCACACCCTGATCATACAAACGTGTCGGTGCAGTACATGTCAAACGACATAGCACAAATTCAGAAGTGTACGCCGAAGACCGCTTGATTGCTCAAAGATCCGCATGGTAGCGGAGCCAAGGATCCTCATTCCACGGGTCTGAGGGGAGGCTCACGCGGATCTGGGTACAGGGCGCAATTTTGAAAGGGTGCCATGCGGGCATCTTCCTCGAGCTGCACGGTAGCCATAGAGCAGAGCTCGCAATCAGAGCCCCAGAGGCTTCTCGGAGCACAAGATCGGCTGCTGAGCGCCCTACGAGCTGGACCATATACATCGACTACATGGCTGGTCTTGAGGACAACCGCCTGCACCTACATCGAGAGCCATCGATGGAGCAGAGATCGCCCGGAGGATGATGATGGCAATTGAGGCGGCCAGCGTGGCAGCGCAAGAAGGCGCCACTGCCCCCACAGCGCAGGGTGGGGCTTGACCTACCATGAGGACGAGTTGTCGCAATTGAATAATACCTGGCATCCCTGGACCCGAGTTCCCAGCGACTTTCAGGAGATCAGGAGGGAAGTTGACCAGATCCAAACCGATGAG